ATAGATGTGAATGCCGGAAGCCGGTCCATCCTTGCTGCTTGACACAGTCGCTGCAGGGAAGAAACATCTGCACAACATATGGCATACTGTTCTTAATATGTTTGCTCACCTTCTTGGCCCTATGTGTTTTAACCAAGGTCACCTCTCCGAGAAGGTTGTTTCCCAGGTAGGGATTTTTCCCTGAAGTTAGGGAGGGAATAAAACCCCTTAACTAAATGCCAGGTGGGTAGTTAATCACTTTAACTATGAACAGTCACCCTTAAACTACATAATCTCTACTCACTGGAATGGAGATAAGAAACGCCCTAACCTTTGGAATAGAAATTGACAGGATTAAAATAAACTGGTATAAATACAGATGTAACAAGACAAATAAGACACAGAACTTGGCTGGAGATCCTGGCTAGAAATTCTGACTGCTGATCAACTGAACGTTGTCTCTGTGTCATTCCTTCTTCGCCGACTCCATCCACACCTTTGGGGACTCCTGGACCTGCTGGGGTTGGACCCCAACATGTGAACACATACATAGCATTTCTACTCTAGGTACACATTTAAACACATTCACTCATCTAACCCTTATGACAATCCCTGGAAGGAAGTAGGACTATTATGTTCTCCATCTTACAGATGAGGGTTCTGGGATGCTGGGAGGTTACCTAACTTGTCCAAGATCACAGAGCTAGTGAGCAGGAGCTAGGAGTCAAACCCACAATGACTGGGTCCAGGATCCGTGCTCTCAGTGACCACTCCAGACTGGAACAGCGGATGGGTGAATGGGCAGTTGGCTGCCTATGGTGGTCCCAGCATGGATGCCCACAGGTGGCCTGAGCTCCCATGATCATGGGTCTGGGTCAGCCTGGAATTTGGGAGCTTTTCATTCCCTTTTTGTAATCAGCTCCCCATGGGAAGGGCTCGTGTGAGGTGTGGGCCTAGCGGCAGGGAGATGGACAAGCACACTCTCGCAGCTCCCCTCTGCAGCCGGCCGAACGCAAGCTTTAAGCAGACCACATACTTACATTGAACAAACCTTGATGCAAGGAGGCTCTGGTCAGCCCGTGGGCATGAGGAAGAAGACAGACCTTCTGGGAGTGTAACTAAGAAATAAAAACAATTGGGAGGGGGGGAAAAGGTCTCATTTTATAAAAGCAAGTAGACGGTACCTAAGCATCATGATCAGAGCAATGGCTTGTCTTCGCAGCAGCAGCAGCACCTTTAGCATCAGGGCGTGACCAGGCAGTGCAGCCAGCTCAGGGTCGTCCAGCCCCATGTTCTCACTGAACCTATTCCCACCCTTTCCTCCCTGAACTCTAAACTTGTTGCTGGCTCCTTGTTCGTCTCTATGTTCTAAGAACCAAGCCTAGTGTCAGGTATCTAGGAAGTGTATTTAGCAAATAAATTAACTAAGACAGTTCCAGGCGGCAACAGTGCCCTGACATCCAGAATATCCACGAACCCCGTATCAATGCTTTGTTTTTATTTTACTTTTTAATATTTTTATTGATTTCAGAGAGGAACAGAGAGGGAGAGTGACAGGGAAATATCAATGATGAGAGAGTATCATGGATCGGCTGCCGCTTGCATGCCCCACACTGGGGATCAAGCTTGCAACCTGGACATGTGCCCTGAACGGGAATCGAACCATGACCTCCTGGTTCATAGGTTGATGCTCAACCACTGAGCCACACTGGCTGGGCTCAATGCTTTAAACTGTTATAAAAACTGGGAAACGTGAGTTGGTGTGAGATTCATCTCAAATCACTGACACCTCCTACTTCCTTCTCAATGTACTAAAGTTTAACTGCTAACTTAAAGCTTCTGTGTGCTTCCAATGCCCACATAGTAGGCAGAAGAAGAGAAAGAAAAGGAGATGTCACAGTGCGGACTATGAAGGTAAAATCTCCCCCCATTTGTATCTTCTTGTTGCTGTTAATCCCACAGAGGATATTTTTCCATTGATATTTAGAGAGAGTGGAAGGGGGGGGGGGTGGACACAGAGAGAGAAACATTGATTGGTTGTCTCCAGCACACACCCTTACCAGGACCGGGGATCAAGCCTGCCACCAAGATATGGGCCCTTAATCAAAATCGAACCTGGGACCCGTCAGTCTGCAGGCTGACGCTCTATCCACTGAGCCAAGCTGGCTAAGGCCAGGCTTTTTCTTTTTAAAAAGTAGCCAGGATCCCTGGGGAATATAAAATAATAATATAGCACTATTCTGTGTAAGTAAAATTGTTCGGCATAAAATGTGATTTCCATGGCAGCACGTGGAGTACGTACACAGTGCAAAGGAAAGCACTGTGATGAGCCAGTCAAATTGCATGGCAACTGTTAAAGCACTGACTTGAAGAACACTACCTATTGTCTTTAAAACAATCCTGTGAGCCCGGCTGGCGTGGCTCAGTGGTTGAGCATCGACCTATGAACCAGGAAGTCATGGATCAATTCCCGGTCAGGGCACATGCCTGGGTTGCAGGCTTGATCCCCAGTGTGGGGCGTGTAGGAGGCAGCCGATCCATGATTCTCTCTAATCATTGATGTTTCTGTCTGTCTCTCCCTCTCCCTTCCTCTCTGACATCAATAAAAATATTTTTTAAAAATAAATTAAATAAATAAATAAAACAATCCTGTGACATCCCAGCTGGTTTGGCTCAATAGCTAGAGCATCAGCTTGCAGACTGAAGGATTCCAGGTTCAATTCCTGAGCAAGGGCACATGCCTGGGTTGTAAGCTCAGTCCCCAGTAAGGGGCATGCAGGAGGCAAATCGATGTTTCTCTCTCTCCCTCTCCCTTCCACTCTCTCTAAACTCAATAAATAAAATAAGTTGTACTTTAGAAAACACTGTAGCTGACTCCCTCTCTCCTTTCCTCCCTCCCTCCCTCTCTCCCTCTCTCCTTCTCTCTCCCTCTCCCTTCCTTCCTCTCTTTGAAATAAATTTTTTAAAAAATATTTTTTAAAAATCCTGTGACAACTTCAGGGAATGATGTTTCAGGATATGGAGGTATATCAGACCCTTTGCTTTAAAAATGTTCTGGACTGGTCCAAATAGCCAAAAACAACATAATCACTAAGAAATAACTATATTGTACTTGCTAAGGCATACTTAAATGTTATAAATTGAATTTTTAAAGAAGACTATAAGATGTATGTTTCATTCCTCAAAAAATTAAAACAGAAATTACCATATGATCCAGCCATTCCACTTCTGGGGATATAGTCAAAAGAACTGAAAGCAGGGTCTTGAAGCGATATTTGCACACCCATGTTCACAGCTGTGTTATTCACAATAGCCAAGAGGTGGGAGCAACCCAGTGTCCATTGCTGGTTAAATGGATAAACAAAATGCACCATATGCATACAATGGAAGACTGCTCAGCCTTAAGAAGGAAGAAAATTCTGACACATGCCACAATGGCGATGACCCTTGAAAACATTATACTAAGTGAAACAAGCCAGTCACAAAAGGACAATAGTTGGGTGGTTCCACTTAGATCTGGTCCCTAGAGCAACCACACTCATAGAAACTGGAAGTGAATGTGGGGTGGAGAGCCGGTAGTATAGAGTTTAAACAATAGTATAGAGTTTCAGTTTTGCCTAATTAAAAAGATCTGGAGCTTGGTTGTACAACAAAGTCAATGTACTTAACACTACCAGACTGTATGCTTAAAAATGGTTAAGATGGTGCGTTTATGGAATTGAACCTGCCACCTCAGCATGTGCCCTGACCGGGAATCGAACCTGCGACCTTTCAGTGCATGGGATGACACTCAACCAACGGAGCCACACTGGCCAGGGCATAAAGTTGAAGGTTTTATTAAATAAAGGCATTTACTAGTTAAAAATAAAAAGCGGCCTATTTCTGAATCACCTCCGATAGATAACACCGATGAATGGTAAGCCAGCAAAGTCTGGTCCAGACTGATGTACAGGCCTTAGAAAATGAGTTTCTATCTCATCAAGGGCCTGTGTTCTATTACAACTCCAGTCACTTCCAAAAACATAGGCAGCCGCGAAATACCTCAGCCCCTTCTCTCCTCACATACACCACAGTGACATGCCGTGGGGCCCTGGATCACATCCCCAGACACCCATGGAACGAACACTTTGCCTTCCCCCCAACTTCCCTACTTAACCCTCCTCTCCAAATAAACTCAACTCACCCTGCCTTTGTTCTTCAGGCGGCTCTTTCCCCGTGAAGTTTTCTTGCAATTTCCCCCGGATGTCTTCTAGGTCATGCAGAATGTCTCTCATTTTGTCCTCAGCTGTGTTGGAAGTCGCTAGTTTTGGAGAAATCAAGGAATGGTCCACCCCACCAGAAAAAGCCTATTGATGAAGCATTAAAAAAAGAAAAGAGAACAAGCAGCCAGGTAGGTAGCTTGGTGTAAAAAAAAAAAAAAAGAAAAGAAAAGAAAGTCTCCCAGGAATGCATCAAATAGTATACTCCAGTGTTGCAACCCATCTATAATTTTCCACTTACCTCCTAACGAGTTTTTAAAAGATAATTAGGCCCTCAAAATACACACTTTGAAAATAATCTGGAGTAATACATAGTACAGCAGAAATATTAAAGGGGGGGAAGGGGTGATGGATGATTTTCACTTACTTTCTTTAAATGGCTATGTATTTTCTTGTCCTTTTGTACAATAAATATCAATTTCTTAAGTAATACTAAAACAAGTCAGAAGTTGTTAGGCCCATATAATTTACAAAGTAAATAATACAGATAGCCAATGAGCTAAGCCACGAAGACTAGACTCATCTTCCCCCGGCTGCTATCATGATAGCATATACCTTCTCACCCAGGCCCCGCGCTCTGGGGCCTCCAACACGTGCTCAGGGATTTTCTTGCACTTCAGGTCCTATGAGTCCCCAACACAGCCTCCCATCTGCTACTTCCCACCTACAGCGCCAGCACCGAACCTTCCTTCCCAACTTTGCATAAGCCACCGCCCACTGTTTTCACCAATCCTCACGGTAGCAGGCACCACTTACTGAGCTCCTTCCACTGCTCACCTCGAATTTGCATAACAACCTTCCAAGGTGGGCTTATTATCCCCATTTTGCCAAAGAAGAAGCTAACGTTCGTGAAGTTGAGCTAAAATTTGCCATAGTTCATTGTATTGCCCTACATTTTCTCATTGCTAAAGCACTTTTTTTATACACCATCCCTTTCAATCCCAACATTTCACTGCTGCAGGCCTCATTATTCCTACTTTACAGGTAGAAACCTGAGATTCAGAGAGATGAAATGACTTGCCCAAGCTCATAATACTAATGTTACATCCCTAAAGTCCCACGTATTCACCCATTCAGTGGGAAGTGCCCAGCACTGTGCCAGGCCTGGGGATACAAGGGTGAACAAAAGAACAAAAGCCCTCAAGGTCTCCACCCTCATGATGCTTAGAGTTAGCCTGCGGACTGAAAGGTCCCAGGTTTGATTCCGGTCAAGGGCATGTATCTGGGTTGCGGGCACATCCCCAGGAGGAGGTGTGTAGGAGGCAGCTGATCAATGTTTCTAACTCTTCTAACTCTCTATCTCTCTCCCTTGTTCTCTGTAAAAAAATCAATAAAATATATTTTTTTAAAATTGTGGCTGTGCTAACGGCTGCCGATGGAAGTTACATGGAGTCATGAGAGAGAGCGCCTCTAATAGGGGGATGTGCCCGGTTCAAGGAAAGCAGTGAAGGATTTTCCAGGACAATGAGGATCTGCTTGGGGTCTGAAGGATGAGCAGGCATTCCCTCGGTGACAGGGCGAAAGAGGAACATTCCACGGAGTGTACCCTGTGGTGGGGGAAAGTGTGCCAACACCCAGAGGGCAGACGTGGGCCAGCGCGGCCGGGACCTGAAGAGCCAGGAAGAGCTGGGTGAAATGAGATGGGAGAGGAGGCAGGGACAGAATCCTGCGGACTTTGTTGGTTCTGTGAGGATGAATCCTGCACAACAGATGCCATTGGAGTGTTTTAAGCATTTGAGTTACATGATCAGATCTGCACTTGAGAGGGTCACTCTGATGACCCTGAGGACAGCAGACTAGAGGGGGTGGAATGGAGCAATTAGGAGGCTCCTGGAGAAATCCAGGCAAGACGTGATCATAAGCTTGGAGTAGAGAAGTCTCAAGGGAGCTCAGGAGTAGTAAATAGAGCCCGACCAGGGTGATTCAGTAGTTGAGCATTGACCTATGAACCAGGAGGTCATGGTTCAATTCCTGGTCAGGGCATATGCCCAGGTTGTGGGTTCAATCCCCAGTGTAGGGTATGCAGGAGGCAGCCAATCAATGATTCCCTCTCATTATTGATGTTTCTGTCTCTCTCTCTCTCTCCCTCTCCTTTCCTCTCTGAAATACATAAAAATATATTTGAAAAAATTGAAAAAGAAAATAGTAAACAGATTCAAGAGATGTTTTGGCAGGTGAGGGAGGGGGTGCGTGATTCTCAGGTTTCTGGCGTGTGCCCTTGGAAGAATAACCAGCAGTCAGATGGGGAATTCCCCCTGAGGAACAGCTTGGGGCATGTTAGGTGTCATGTGCCTTTGTGATACTAAGAGGCGACTGTGAGAAGGAAGACACCAACCTAGAGCTCAGAGAAGTGGCCGGGCTGGAGCTGTTTGTGCCAATTAAAGCCATGGGTGTGGGGAAGAGAAAGGGACCCACGGATGAGCCTTGAGGAATCCCAACATTTCACTGCTAAGCAGAGGCGAGTGAGCCTGCAAAACAGACCGGAAAGGAGCAGCCAGCCAGAGAGAAACAGGAAGGCTCGTGGGCAGAAGCTGAGGGAAAGGCAAGCTTCAAGGACGAAGGTGTGGTCACCCGTGCCAAAGGCCACTGAAGGCGTGGCTCAGTGGTTGAGCATCGACCTATGTGCCTGGAGATGACAGTTCGATTCCCGGTCAGGGCGCATGCCGGTGTTGCAGGCACAATCCTCAGTGTGGAGCATGCAGCAGGCAGCTGATTAATGTTCTCCCTCATCATTGATGTTTCTATCTCTCTCTCCTCCCTTCCCTCTGAAATCGATACAAATATAGTTATAAAAATAAAGATGAGGACTAGAATGTCTGCAGGATTTACGTAGAGGCCACTGGTGATCTTAGAGCTGGTTAGGTGGAGTGAACAGGATGGAACTCTTGAAGTTTCCCTATCAAACCTCCAGGCCTCCTGTTTGGTAGTCCAGCGAAGGGGAAAAGGCAGAGCCTTACTGCATCCATCAACTGCAAACACGTTCATGCTGCCCCAGTTGGGAGCTGTCCCCGCCCCTGTCTCCTGCCACACCCTTCCTCTCCCCGCTTGAGCCTACCATGCCCAGGACGTTCAGTTTGTTCTCCGGCCCAGATTCTGGGAGGTGCCTCTGCTTCTGAAGGCTCCTGACGATGTCTACAAGCCGTTCCACCAGCTCTGCCAGCTCCCGACCAGCTTCTGGGATGCTCTTCGGTGCCGCCGCCTTTAAAAGAGCAAAGCAGAACCCAAAGCTGGACCCAGGAATCAGCTCTACATGGAGTGTGCAGCCTGGATACAGGAACAGGCAAGGACGCGACGGAAACACTCAGAGGACAAGAAGGGAGGCTCCCCAGGCCTTTTGCAAGCCCTTTCCCTTACTGATCGTCCTGTGGCCAGAAGAGGAAAGCGGAGTCCATCCGTGGGATGGAAGGGGAGGGGGAACGGGAGTAAAGTGTGAAGGGAAGCCTAGGGGCCATTATGAACAGGGGAAGTCAGAGAAGACATGGGTGTGAACCTGGCAGGGACGGTGGCAGCTGATAGAGTGAGTGGTGCAGTGGAAGGCATGTGGCTCGGGCTCAAGCTCCACTTTTTATTATTATTATTATTATTGATTTTTTACAGAGAGGAAGGGAGAGAGATAGAGAGTTAGAAACATCAATGAGAGAGAAACATCGATCAGCTGCCTCCTGCACATTCCCTACTGGGGATGTGCCCAGAACCAAGGTACATGCCCTTGACCGGAATCGAACCCGGGACCCTTCAGTCCACAGGCCAACACTCTATTCATTGAGCCAAACCGGGTAGGGCTCAAGCTCCACTCTTGCCTCTGATTCATCCTATGTCCTGACCAGGCTTTTCAGAAATGAAAGTGACATCCCTCCTTCTCTCCCATAGGGAAAAAGATCTACCTAGCTGTTCACTGTGAAAGAATCCTGGAGACTTTAGTGATGTACAGATGAAAGCTTTTTTGTTTGTTTATTGGCATCTTTAACATTACAAAAGACATTCAGCCCAGCCAGCGTGGCTCAGTGGTTTAATGTTGACCTATGAACCAGAAGGTCACAGTTTGATTCCCGGTCAGGACACATACCCAGGTTGCCAGCTGGGTCCCCAGTGTGGGGCGTGACAGAGGTAGCCAATCAATGATTCTCTCTCATCACTGACGTTTCTATTTCTCTCTCCCTCTCCCTTCCTCTCTGGAAACAATAAAAATATGTATTTTTTGAAAACATTCAGAAGAGAGTGCTAAACAACTCCACTTAAAGAGCTTAATCTGCTCAGCTGCCCAGCTGGGAGTGGGAGTAAGCTTTGCAGCCAACATATTTTGGCAACAACCTCATGATCTGATGACAGTCAACAGAGGCAGCCTGGGCACAGACCACAGTGGAGAACTCCACATCCCCTCCAAAAGGGGTGGTTCTACATAGAGTCACAGAAATGTAAGGCATTCATCACTCAACTGTGAATCAACCAGAGTTTTTTATAACTTTGTTTTGACATTTGTCATATTTTAAATTTTGCTGGAGCCTCAAAAACTGGGATTGACCCAGGGCCTTTTTCATCTCTTAAATAGCCCTGATGTCCCTCAAAATAGCATGCGTTTTGGCAGTTGTCAGCAGGCTACTTTAGAGAGGGGGGTGACTGACCCCTGCTAACACTGTTTGCTCTTAAAGGTCCAGGCCCCACCCCTAAATATTCAAGCAGCAGGAACTCCTGTAGAGGAAACCTTATCCAGGCACCTGAGCAAATTAAAGACTTTAAAAAATACATGCATTGCTTTTTCTATCTGTAAGAGAAATACACACTTATTGTGGCAAATTTTAAAAATGCAGAGAATGAAAAAGAAGAAATGTTTTAAATCATCGAATAGCCTACCATCCAAAGACAATCTTTTTAATTTAAAAGCCAATGGAAAGGATATTCAATCACTATAAACTATATTAACAAACAGTTTTAAGAAGCTGTGGGATAATGCTGTATTTATAATCTAAAAATAGAGAACAGACTTTATTCATAATTGGGGAAAAATGGAAGTAACCTATATGTCCATCAAAAGGTGAATGGATAAAGTGTGGTACATCTATGCAATGAAATATTATTGAGCAATAACAAAAAATGACCTATCAAGCCACAAACTTTCATTTTGCTTTGGGAAAGAAGCCAGTCTGAAAAGGCTAGATACTGTATGATTCCAACTATATGACATTCTGGAAAAGGCAAAGAGATGGTAAAAAGATCAGTAGCTGCCAGAGATTGGCTCGGGGATACACACAGGAGGAGCATAGGGGGATGTTCCCGGCAGTAACACTGCATGGTAAGCATAACTGTAGATCCATGACCTCAGACATTTATCAAAAGCCATTGAACTGCACAACACGAAGAGTGAACCCTAATGTAAACTGTGGCCCTTAGTAAATAACAATGTATTAATATTGGTTCATCAATTGTGACAAATGTACCACATTAATGCAAATTGTTAATAACTGCAGAAACTGTGAGGGGTACATAGGAACTTCCAGTACTATCTGCTCAATTTCCTGTAAACCTAGAACTGCTCTAAAAAATAATGTCTATTAATTCATTAAAAAAAAAAAAAAGACATACCCTGGTTATACAACAAGGCCTCAGCTCTGTTTAAAAGGACTCAAGAGAACAACAAAAGGGTGGCGTGGGCAGCTCCAAGCTCTCACCCCAGCCCACACACAGAAACATCGAAAAACAAGCAGAAACTGTCAGAACTCCGGAAAACACTGTTTCTAAGAAGAGCAACCGGGCATAGCTCAGTGGTTAAGCTTTGACCTATGAACCAGGAAGTCCTGGTTCGATTCCTGGGTTGCTGGCTCGATCCCCAGTGGGGGATATGCAGGAGGCAGCCAATCAATGATTCTCTCCCATCATTGATCATTGATGTTTCTTTTTTTTTTTTTTTTTTTAAGAGCAACCTGGCAGTAGGAAAGCATTGTGGTGTTTTCACTTGTCCTTGCCCCACTCCCTGCTGGCTCAGTAATATAATCAAGACTCCTCGCTCGGGGCTCTGGTCCTGTTCTGGAAGAGCAGCACACACCTTATTCACAAATTGTCATGTGCGTCTGTTCTAACTGGGCTGCCGGCTGCCCCAAGGAGCGGCATAGGGTACTCATCTCTGTCTCACCTGACTCGGAGCTCAGGCCGAAAAAGCAGTGGGCATGGCTCACGGATGCTGCAAGCTGAACCACAACATGCCAATGTCTGGGGCAAAAGATTATGGTGAAAACGCCTAAGTGCCAGAAGCAAAAGCTGGGGGAACCGGACCCCTCCTACTCTGAAAACAGATACTTGCACACCAACGTTCACTACAACATCACTTACAACTGCCAAACGGTGGAAACAACCCAGATGTGCATGGATGTATGAACGGATTTTTAAAACGTGGCGTATAGATACAAGGCAATGATGAAAGGAATGAAGTCTGGGCACATAGTGCAACATGAACGAACCCTGAAAACATTATGGTAAGGGAAGGAAGCTAGACACGAAGGGACAGACACTTAGGGTTCCATTCATATGAAATATCTAGAGTAGGCAAAATCACGGAGACAGTAAGCAGGTTAGAGGGGACCAGAGGCTGGAGCGGGCGCGAATGAGAAGTTAATGCTTGGTGAGCGCGGAGCTTCTGTTTGTGGTGATGAACAGGTCCTGGAAATAGCGGTGATGGTTGCACAACGTTGTAAAAACAACTAAAGCCCCTAAGTTATACCCTTAAAAATGGTTAACCTGGCAAATTTCGTATATACAAAAACATTGTTAGAGAGACAGATGTGGAAAGACTGGAAAGAAGCGGAACCCTATGCCAAGAAGTATAGCAGCGAGGCTGAAAGGATTTCAGATTTGAATTATTTTTTCTGCTTCATATTTTTCTAAAACTTTCCAAAAGAGCAGGTTCTACTTTTAAATGGAGAAAAGTAAACTGAAAGCAGAAAGGATGCGGGAGAAAGCGCCATGGAGAGCGGGCTGGTTGGAAGCCAGGGTCCCGCCACCCTACCCGGGGCTGGGGGGCGCGG